GTTTTCCTGTTTTTTTGTTTTTTTTTTTTTTTGTCGCGCGCAGTTTTAAAATTTCTTTTGGATGGGGCCGTTCTGTCCTTATGTTTCTCGTTGTTTACTCCCCTCCATGTTGTTTTCTGTGCTTCAGAGTCGTTATGAACGTGGACGTTATAGATGCGACGGCGGAGGCACTTCCGCTGGAGCTGCTGAACGCAACAAACAAGGAGCTGACGGCGCAGCTGTCGCGCCACGAGCAGCTGTGCGATGATAAGGTACGTGAGATAGAAGACCTGCGGCGGCGGCTACAGTTCATGAAGGAGCATCTCAGCAACGTGCGCGGGGAGGTCGTGAACACCCAGAGCCTGGTGGAGTGCAAGCGGCGTGAGGTGGAGTCGGGGACGCACATGTACCGCCTTCTCGACCGCGAGTGCGGCCGGCTGAAGCAGGGGAAAGCGCAGATGCAGGCGCAGCATGCGGAGGTGCAGGAGCGGCTTCTGGCGGTGCAGAACTGCATCTTCCAGGAGAACCTGCGCATGGCCGAGTTGAAAGGGGCAATGACGTTCAACCAGGACGAGCTTGAGCAGTGGGACCTTGCACGCAAGCAAAAGGAGGCGGACGAGGAGGCAGTGGCGCGCTACACGAAGGACGATGAGGTGCGGGCGCGTCAGCTGAACACGGCTGTTGAGCGGCTCGAGGCGAAGCTGCGTGACCGCAAGCGTGCGCTGGAGGAGGAGGTGATGGTGGCGCGCAACGTGCAGCTGGAGCTCGACCGCAGTGCAGTTGACTACCGCAAGCTTCACCACGACCGCGGCCTGCTGCTGGATGAGTGGGAGAACGTAGTGAAGGCCATTCACGAGCGCGACGCGGCAATTCGCTCAGCGGCGATGCAGTACGCGGAGGGCGCGGAGTGGCTGGAGCAGCGGCGGGCGGTGCTGCTGGCGCTTTCCACTGACCTTGACACGGCACGCGAGGAGGAGGCGATGACGCAGGCTGGCATCAAGGAGCGGGAACAGCGCGCGGAGAAGCACCGTGGCGTGCTGGCCTCACTGGATGGGTGCGTTGTGTCGATGGAGGAGGAGGTGGAGACGCTCCGCGAGCAGCTTGCACGGGCGGTTCGGGAGCGCAACAATAGCCGCGTTCGCGCCGAGGAGAGCCGCGCGTCCGTTGCGCACAAGGCGGCTGCGTACGATCGCGCGGTGGAGCAGCGGGCGCAGACGAAGAAGCAGCTGCACGGCGAGCTTGACACGGCGGTGGACCTCGAGCAGCAGCGGGTCACAATTGCGCGACTACTGCAGGAGGCCCGCGCGACGGAGCGGCGCCTGGACAAGGAGGTGGAGGATCTCAAGCGCGAGCGCTTTACCGCGGGTGAGCGGCTGCAGGCGACTGGCCAGCTGCAGGACGAACTTATTGCGGAGATCAGCGGCGGGCAGTCGCAGGGGCGGAACCTCAAGGCAAGGATCGCCCAACTCGACCGCGAGTCCTTTGCGCAGCAGGAGGTGCTGTACAACGTAGAGTTCAATGTGCAGCAGATGCAGCGCAAGGTGAGTCGGGCGAAGGGGGAGCGGACGGAGGAGGAGCGGAAGCCCCTGAAGGAGAAGATTGAGGCGCTGCAGAGCACACTGGACGAGCTGTGCAAGCAGCAGCGCGCGTTGGACACGCAGGTGAAGCGGGTGCGGGAGGAAACACGGCAGGCGACCTTGGAGGTGGTGCGGATGCGGGAGCAGGAGAAGGACACGTGCGACAAGGCGATACAGCTGCGTCTTGCGTGTGACAGCTGCGCGGCGGAGTTGCGTAAGCTGCGCAGGGCGCGGGAGGACGAACTGGTGCGTGTGGACACGCAGGAGCTGCAGCTGCAGGGGCTGAAGCGCACGCTGCACCAGCGTAGCGGCGAGTTGAGCGACCTTGAGGGGCAAAAGCGACAGCTCTCGCAGGATGTGTCGCAGCGGGCGGCGGAGATCGCCGTGCACCACGACCTCCTCAAGATGGAGGCGAAGCTTGCGGAGGAGGAACGCCGGCGGCTTGTCGCCGAGCTACAAGACCGCCAGAAGAGCCTCGGGGCGCTGCGCAACCGCTACGATGTGCGTGTGGGCCGCATGGACCCGGAGCAGGCGCACTGGTCGCAGGCGCAGCTTGTGATGGAGGCGGCAAAGGAGCGCGAGGCGCTGCAGCACCAGGGCGACGCCCTGGACGCACGCGTGGCGCGGCTCGAGCGTGAGCTGCTGAAGCTGGAGCGGGCGCTGCAGGTCATACGGGCAAGTAATTCGAACTACCGTCACATGTTTGATCGGGTGCAGGAGGGCGATGGGGAGGAGCAGACGCGACGGGCGCTGGAGGCGAATCAGCGCGAGCTCAAGGTTGTCATCAGCCGCCGTGCGCTGGAGGCAAGCGAGTATCAGGAGGTTCTGCATGGCAAGACGGCGGAGCTGCAGCAGCTGGTGGTGCGGAAGGAGCAAGCGCTGAATGTGGTGGAGGAGCTGCGGCAGGCATGCGAGCACACGCACAGGGCCATCCTGGAGGGCAGAGAGACGGTTATCCGCTACAACCAGGCGATCAATAAGGCCCGTGGCGCTATCACGGCGGAGGCGGCGGCGGATGTGGAGTTGCAAGAGAAGCGGCAACGACACGAGGCGGTGGTGGGGCGTGTGCTGCAGCTTTCGCAGCGACACGGCGAGGGCGCGGGCGAGGTGGCGCGTGCGCTTCTGCAGGAGCGATTGGGTGCCATCTGACGGAGCTGGCCCGCGCCGCCGCGGATGTACAGTGTTTCGCTATCCATTGAAGTTTGTCTCTGAACCGCTTTATTTGCTTCGTTGTGTCTGTGTGTGTGACTGTCTGTATGTCTCTTGTCTCTTTTCTATGTCCCGCAATACGGTGGTGCGCTTTCCACGCAGTCGCGCCGCCCTCTCTCTCTCTCTCCCAGCAGGTAACGTGGCGGCTAGAACTGCAGAATGGCGGACGAAGCGTGCCCACCGTGGCTCTCTCGGGCTGACTATTTGTGCTGCCGCACGGACCCGTACCGTTCCCTTGATGCGGCGCAGCGGTGCGTCAATGACATCCACAAGAGCATCCTCGCGCTGCAGTCGTCCCTCAAAGCGTCGGAGGGCCACCCCGTCGTGCAGCTCGGTCACGTGACGCGGAATTTTGAGCGGCTCCGGGCGGAGCATCTTGTGCTCGGCGACGCCCACAGTGAGCAGCAGCGGCAGCGCACGGCGCTTATGCGCGTTGCTGAGATCCTCCGTGAGGAGAAGCGCGCGCTGCTGGAGGAACTTAACGAGGCACGTCGTGGCGTTGTGGTGCGACGGGCGGAGTGCGACGACGCGTCAGTCGTGTGCAGGCGTTTTGCCAGAGAGCAGAAGGCGCGGGCGGCGCGGTTGGAGGTGCAGGAGTCGCAGCTGGCCGCCCTCGTCGAGCAGGAGCGCGGCTGCCGCGAGCGGTTTGCGGCTGTGCAAGCGGAGTTTGACATGCTCTCGTCCGTGGTGGATCAGCACGCCCAACAGATCCGCTCGCTGACGGCTCTCCGCGCGCATCTCGGCGGCACCCGTGCGGAGCAGGAGCGAGCTGCTGCTGCTCTCCGGGACGACGTGACGCAGCGGGAGGTGGCACTGGCGGAGACTTCGACTGCCCTGTGGGACTACAAGGCAGATATGGCGGCGCGCGTTGTGGCACTGCAGCGCCTGGCGCAGGAACGACAGGGCGAGCTGGAACGTGTGCGCCGTCTGAGCCAACACGAAATGGACACGCTGGCGGCACACAACAAGGCGCTCGCTGACGGGCTCAAGGCGACGGCAGAGGCGCTGCTTCGCGTCCGCGGTGAGTCAAGGGCGTTTGCAAGCACGGTGAAGCAGGCGCTTGCTGACGGGCGGCTGGAGGTGCAGAAGCACGCGGCCGTTGTAGAGCTGGTGGGGGAGCAGAACTCCGGGTTGCGGAGCGCGATTGGGCGCGCGGAGGAGCTGCTCCGCCAGTCGGTACATCATACAGGCGAGAAGAACAATATCAACCGGAGGAACCTCATCGAGCAGGCAAATCGCGTCAGTACGTTGCACGTGGAGCTTCAGTCAATGCTGGAGGACGTGCGGCTGATTGAGGCGCGGCTCTGCACCTTGTGTCGCCAGCAGGTAGCGGCTGAGCTGCCCCCACCGCAGCAGGGTCACCCTCAGAAGCAGCAGGATAGCGAGGAGGCAACGCCACGGCAAGATCTCAGCGTTGCCGCCGACCTGCCGCCGCCGTGTGAAGGCATGGAAAGCAGGTTTGACAACGTGGCTGCGGTGCAGCCGGGCGGCGTGGTAGCGCAGGCCGACGAGTCACAGGAGGTGCCTCGCCTTCGTGAGGCGCTCGATGCGCTGAGCCGCCAGCTGCTGGAAGAGCGCGCCGCGCGCGAGGCGGAGCTTCAGTTGGAGGAGGACGGCAGGGTGAGACGCGCGGCCGAAGCGGTGGCCGTGCATCGCGCCGAGGAAGAGCGGCGCCGGATGGATTACCAGGACTCCGAGAAGCAGGCGGCCGGTGAGGTGGCGCTGTCGTACGCGGTCCAGTTTGTGGATGGCACCAAGCGTCGTGTGGACGCCTTCCCGAGCGACACGGTGGCGATGATGATTTTTCGCGTTGCCCTTCGCGCCGGCATTGTGCGGTGGCGCATGTTCCACCTCGCGCAGCTCGTTGACGAGGCCGGCGTGCTTGGCTCGGTGCGTCGCTACCTGAGCCACAGCGCCACTCTGGAGGGTGAGGGTGTTACGCCGCAGGCGGCTCTGCTTTTTGGGTTCAAGCACTACAAGCGTCCGCTGCACTGGGACGACGCTGTGGCGCAGGAGTGGTTCTTTCGCCAGCTTCAGCAGCACGTTGTGCGTGGGTACTACCCCGTTTCGGAGGCGGTTGCGGTACGGCTTGCGTCGTACGAGCTTCAGGCGGTCTTCGGCGACTTCACGGCACAGACGTCGCTTCTGTACTTTGACCAGGTGGGCCTTGAGGCGTACCTTCCCATCTCAGTCTCGGCCCATGCGTACGACTACTGGCAGGAGCGGCTGGCGCGGAACCACCGCCGGCGTGCCGGACTGACTGCGGCGCAGGCGCGTTGCGGCTACATGGACGTTCTCAGCACGACGCCGTGGTGGGGCGTGACTTTCTTTGACGTGAGGGACCGTGACAATCGTCCCTTTCTTGCGGGTGTGGCGGAGGATGGCTTCTTTGTGTTTAGTGCGACGAAGCAGGAGTGCCTCGACGTGGTCCCGTTCCCCGACCTTGCCGGGTGGGAGCGCTGCCCTGCAGGCGTTGTGGTGAGGCGCCGCGGCTCCCACACAATGACGCTGTACGCGATGAGCCAGTTGCAGGCGAAGGAGCTTGTGGACCTGCTGAACGAGTGCTACGCTCTGCTCCCTCAGCGGGTGCGGGAGGAGCTGCGTATTGAGGTTGCGGGGGAGGAGGGTGTGCGTGCGGGGCTGGTGGACCCGGCAATGTTCGTCTTCCCCGTGATGGGCCGTCCGCGCCCCGCTCCGTACGGGTCGCGTGTAGAGTGCATGAAGGCGGCGTACATGTCGTACTGCACAGAACTCGATGAGTTGGGGAGGCCGCACGCCCCGGCGTTGGCACTGCTGCGGGCGATGGACCGGGCTGTGGACGATGGCGCGGCGCTCGACGCACTGGACCTCGCGATGGCTGACCCTCCCGTCGACGACCGGCACTTTGCTGTGCTTGCCGAGATCCTGGAGTTTGCGCTCCGTGAGTGCCAGCCGCCAGGGCAGCACGAGGAGTGGAGGGAGAACGTTGACATCACGGCGGTGCTGCTTGCGCAACCCTCGGCAGCGCGACAGCTTTTGTCGGCGTCCTCGGTGCCGAGGATCGCGGCGGTGGTTGCGCTCTTCCCCGGGCTGCAGACACTGGACCTCGCCTACATTCCGCTGGACACGGCGTCGGAGCAGCTTGGCAGTGCTCTGGCTAGCGGCGCGAGGGGGCTGCGGCGGCTTATTTTGCGGGGCTGCCGTATTGGCGCAAGGGCGCTGCAGTCTTTTTTGCCTGTGTTTGGGTCCCGGCCGCCGAGCGCCCTGGAGCACCTCAGCCTCGAGGACAACTTCTTGACGCACGCCGCCGTACATCCTCTCTGCGAGCTGCTCAGCAGCGGCGGCACGGTGCTGGCGGAGCTTAACCTCGCGTTTAACCGCCTCGAGGCATCAGGCATCGATGCGCTCGCCAAGGCCGCTCTCGCCGCATCTCCGCAACTGCAGTCACTGGACGTCTCCGGCAATCCCGGCCTTCAGCCGCCGTCGATGCGGGCGGCTTTGCTGGTTACCAAGGGCAGCGGCATTGCCCGACTCGCTCTCCGCTGCTGCAGAGTGTGCTTTGCACTTTTCGAAGCAATGGACACGGAGCTGGTGTCTAACGGTGACATTGTGGAGCTCGACCTGTCAACAAATCCGCTTGGCGACGGAGTGGATGCGCGTGGGGCAAAAACGGCGTTCCGTTTTTTGGGTGATCGGCGGTCTGTGAGCCGCGTGGAGCTGCTTCTCATGGACGAGTGCGGCTTGACGGAAGGCGAGTTGGGTGATGCTCTTGGGGGTGCCATGGCATCCAACGGCACGCTGCGGCGGCTTTCGCTGCGCAGCAACGGCCTGGCGCGGAAAACGGGGTTTCTGCCGTCGCTGGTGACGGATGCCGTGGGCGCCCACCCTGCCCTGCGTGTGCTTGACCTGACGGACAATGGCATTTCACATGCCGGCTGCATGCGGCTTTTTGCGGCTCTTGTGCGCAGCAATACCATCTGCGAGCTTTACCTTGACGGGAACCACTTGCGTGACGCCATGGGGCCAGCAAGCTGCACAGAGCTTGTTGCTCTGCTTGAGAAAAGTGCCTCACTGAATGTGCTTAGCTTGTGCAACACTGGGATGCCCGACACTGCGCTGCAGCGGGTGGGCGAGGGGCTCGCTCACAATGTTGCACTGCACACCCTTGTGGCAAGCGGCAATGCGTTTACGCCGCCGGGCATAGCGGTTTTTGCTCGGCTCATCCACCACAATGAGGCCTTGAAGACGTTGGACCTGTCGACGGAAGCCCTTTGCCGCGACGAGGCCATGTATGCAGACACGCTCCGTCTGTTATCGAGTGCGGGACGGCTTGATTCTGTGCGGCTGTAGCGGCAGTTATGGAACGTCTCTCCCCGCTTTTCTCCTTATCGGTACAACTCTGGCGAACGTGTGTGCTTTGTGTGTGTGTGTGCGTAGTCTTACTCTTTTCTATTGCCGGCAACCGCGTCTTGCGTCGCGTACTTGTGCGGCGGCTGCAGCTTCCCCCACCCCCTGATTTAGTTCTTTTTTTTTTTCCTTTTGGCGTTGTTTCTCCCCCTCGCCGCCTTGCGTGTGTGTATGGTGTGGGGTCGGTAAGAAGGGGGATGTTCTTTGACGACAACGACGGGCCGCACGAGGGCTCGGAGGGAGAGCGGTCGCCGAGCAGTGGGGCTTCGAGTGTGGGCGAGGTGCCGCTGCCGCCGTTGCCCCCGCCAACGCCGCCGTCAAGCATCAACGGCATGGCCACGGAGGAGATCTACAGCATCATCAAGGAGCTGCGTCGACAGATCGACGATCCCGCGACTCACCAGGGCATCAGGGCGATGCTGAAGAAGGAGCCGGCGGTGTTGTTGGCCGTTGCCCGCGTGCTACACGAGTCGGCGCTGCTGCGGCGCACCGTCGTGAATGTCGATGGCCAGTTGGAGGAGCAGCTGGTGCCCCTTCCGGAGGCCTCTCCCCCGCCATTGCCGTCAGGGTACCGCAGTTGGGCATGAGAACGTTCTTCCCACATACCTGGGCTCAGTTTGCGTCTTGAGCGCGGCTGTTTGTTTCTGTCGTTTCCTTCATTGCTGTTGCGCTGTGGCGAGTAGTGGTTTCTTCCTTTCTACTTCGCTGTTTCTCTCCCTCTTTGTGGGCGTAGAGCTGGGGCGCAGGTAGAGTGGGGGTGGGCGATGGCTCTGGCGGACAGAACGTATGTGCTGCCTGCGATGGGTGAGCTGCGCGTGACGGCCGCGACGAGGGCCCACGAGCCGACGGCTCTCATGCTTCAGCCGCAGGTGGAGGAGGGCGCCGATCAGCCTCGGGCGGACGTGTTTGGGACGGAGCTTCTTCCTGGCGTTGCTGTGCACCTCCCTGCAGGGCGCTCCGTTGGCGTTTTTTCCCCCACTGGCTGCTCGCTGGTGGTTTCGGCGCCCCATGCGGTTCTTCAGGCGTCCTACGCCACAGCCTGCAACGCGACAAACGCCCGCTCCCTTGCTGACATCAACACTCACCTGGAGGTTTTGCGTGTCAAGGCGCGACGGGGCGGTGCGGACGCGCTGGGCCCCCGCGTTCTGTTTGTTGCGGATCGTCGCGCTGTTGGCACAAGCAGCTACGTCCGGACACTAACAAACTACGCCGTTCGTCTTGGGTACCATCCCCTTCTCCTTGATGCCGCGGTGGAGGCGCCCCGCTTCGGGTATCCCGGCCTTGTTTCTTTGTATTCCATGCAGCACACGGTAGATATTGAGGAAGAAATGTGCTTTGTCCCTGCAATGCACGGCTTTCAGGGCGTCGGGAAACATGAGGACCCCGCGCTCTTCACTTATGTGCTGCGTCAGCTGATGCGACTGGCCACGGAACGTATGGCCCGCAGCGATCGCTGCCGCGTGGGTGGTATGTTTGTTGACTATGGGGCGGTCTCTCGCTCTCTCGTGGAGGCAGCAGAGGCGTGGGAGTGCTCGGAGGAGAGACTGGAGGAGCACCGAAGGGCAAACCCGTTGGACGTCTTGGTGGACGCCATCACGGAGGCGGATATTGATCATGTGTTTGTGGTGGGGAGTGCGTGGCTGCGCTTCAAGCTGGCACAGCGAGTGCAGCAGCGTGTGGGTGGTCCCCAGTTGAAGCCGTTCGTGATGCCTTCCACTGTTACATGCGCTACCGGCATGAGTCTCCATCTATTTTTGGTGGACGCAACGGAATGCGGGGCGCCTAACGACGATTTATTCTTCAGGCGCCAGTGTTGGCTTCGCTACTTCTTTGGCACCCGGACTACTGCCGTGAAGCCCACGCTGCTCACCGTCAATCTCTCGCTCCTTCGTCTTGCGGTGGTTGGAAAGGGCGAGACTAGCTCCATGTCGACCTTCATGCCGATGGACGATGATGACCTACAGCAGGGTCATCGGGCGGCGGGCCAAACCGTTTCTGTGACGTACGTGCAACCGCAGGACGTCGACCTGAAGGACCGAATTCTCGCGCTGAGTTTCGCGTCGGAGCTGGAGGAATTGCCCGACGGGACGCTGCACCGCGTCCCCTTCGCCGTGTTTGAGGCGCGTTTGCGCCAAGGCCTCGTTATGGGCTTTGCCTTGGTGGAGTCCGTGTCGCCAAGCAGGATCACACTCTTGACTAACGCCGCACCGGTGCGGAAGGACAAGGGCCTGTGCTTTATCCTCACAGAGGACCGGCTTGCAACGCAGTTGGCGACATCTACGGCCTGAAGACATGGTTGGAAAGGCATAAATCTTTTTAAACGGAGCAATGCCATGCACTGAACTTATCCGGTACCAGAACCCAACTCGGTAGCGGGAATGAGAAGACGTGGTTCATTACTGCATTGCAGTTTCTTTCAATGCTGCTTTTTTTCCTCTCTCTCTCTTGCTCTCTCTCTGTGCCAACACATGGCCCACACAGGAGGACAGTCGCAAGGCAGAGGGTATGGCGGTGCGTTGGGGGCGGCGAGGCGGCCGTGCGCAGTTGGGTTTGCGGCCCTCTGCTGCGCCGTCGTGCCTTGCTGTTGTCTCTCTTCTTCTTGTGCTGCTGCTGCTGCTCGTTTTTCCATGTGCCGGTGCCAGGTCCGCAGTTTCCAGGGCGTCGTTAAACTTGTGGCTTTTCGCTTCAATGATCCTTCACTTGATAATTTTTCTGGGAGCATCGTCGCCGGGTTGAATGCTTCGTTGCACTCGCGGAAGTTCACTGCGGCGGACGGTGTGCGTGCGGAGATTGCCTACAAAAGCGCAACATTCACCACTTACCCATCTGAACTCTCTGCGGCGTTGAAGGACAGGCGTACCCACGCCGTCGTTGGCCACTGCGGTGACAAACTGTTGGAGAGTGTAAAGGACGTTCTTGCATGACACGACGCCGTTGCTTTT